CAGAACGGAGCCGAAGGGCAGTTCCAGCGAGCGTGTGAGTGTTTCATCAACCACAAGGCACTAGCTGTGGGCGATCACCTTTGTGATATTTATTGTTTGCCTGTGTTTATGGCCAGCAGGGTGGGAGTGTTTCCTTTAAAATGCCTGGCCCGAGCCAAAAATACCCCACCCCGGTGCCCCTGGAGTGGGCAGCTGTCCCCTTGCCAACATCTGCGGAAAGAATACAGGATGGGTGGCAGGCAGGGCCTCCCCCCACAGGCTCCCCGGGGCCTCTGCCAGCCGCGGCCTCTGAAAACAAAAGCACAAAACCAGGAAGGAGCAAAGCGCCGCCGGCTCGGGCTCGGGCTCAGGCTCAGGTTCCGGCCCACCAGGCTGGGTTTGCACACTGCTCTCCCACCCGGCCGCCTCTCCTCCCCCTCAGGGCGCCTTCCTCCCCCTTTCCCTGGACTCCTCTCAGGCTGCTCCCCTCACGGTACCTCCTGTCTTCCCTGGGATGCCTGGAGGAAGATGCTGTGATGTCCACAGCGCCCACGGGCTATCCAACAGGCCTGGGGTGCCCCTCACCCCTGCCCGGCTCTCTCCAGCTGACTCGCCCGGGGCCCTTCCCCACCACTTGTCGCCTGGACCCTGAGACCGGCCGAGGGGTGTCCCACCAGCCCCACGCTGGCTTGGAGGGAGCACACCTCGGGGCTTGCAGCAAGTCCTGCAATAACCCTTCGCCCCTCATCTTGCCCCCTCCCCCCAGGAAGGGAGGCCGGGGCCCTTCTCCAGCCCGGCAGGCCCCTCACAAGTACATCTTCATGGCCTCGTGCGTCGTGGGGCAGTAGCGGGCGTGCAGCTGGGCCAGCAGCGCCCGGGACGTGGCCTCGAGGCGCGTGCCCTGGCTCTTCTTGTTCCACACGTGGACGGCGTAGGTGGCGTTGAGCAGCCGGGGCAGCTCCTCGGGGCTGATCTCCTCGAAGTACTTCTTCCAGTCCTGCCAGGGGATGGGGTAGAAGGCCTCGCAGGGCAGGGCGCGCACGCCGCGGCAGGCGTGGCTCTCGCCCAGGCTGCGGATGGAGCACCACTTCTTGAAGACCCGCGTGAGGAGCTGCGGGCCCTGGTGGCCCCAGATCCAGCCGTTGTAGTGGGCCACGAAGTCCCGCATGCACAGCGCCACGAACTCATGGTGGCGCTCGAAGGCCAGGAAGGCGCCGTTGAGGACGTAGCGGGACTGGGTGCCCAGCGTGTTGGTCAGGTTCCCCAGGTTCTTGAGGACGATGAAGTCCGTGTCCAGGTAGATGCCCCCGAACTTCCACATGAGCGCCAGCCGGGCGGCGTCGGACAGCACTTATTTACAAGTAGCAGCGACAGGCCCAGGTGGTGCGGGAGGGAGCCGTTGCGGCCACGCAGCCCCTTCATCAGCACCGTCACCTGCCACTCGGGGTGCGCCCGGGCGGCCGACTCCACGGAGCACATGAACAGGAAGTTGGGGTTGGTCCGGTCGGAGGTCTCCAGGAAGAAGATGTTGCCCGGAGGTGGGGTGCCGGAGGGCCGCCTGGGGGGCTCCAGGTGGGGGCAGGGGATGTCGACCGGCAGGTTAGAGAGCTGTGCTTGGCTCCCGGGCTCCCCCGCGATGTGCCAGTAGATCATGACGGAGACCAAGCACATGAAGTTGAAGCTGATGAGGAAGAGGGTGCAGCCCCGCTGGCTCGGGGTGCCCCGGAGCAGCCCCAGCAGGCAGTCTGGGGGCCTGGGCATGGTCTCCCCGGTGCCGCCAGGAGCCTCCAGCAAGAACTGGCTGGTCTGCAAGAGATGACACCACATTCTGACAGGTGGCTGGCACCCCTGACCCGAGAATATGCTTCCTACACACAGCGGCCAGCGCCGAGGCCAGCCTGGCTTCCGGAGCCCACAGGCCTGCCAGCGCTCACTGCCCCTCTCCCTCCTCACCTGGGCGCGGTGGGCCGTGGACTGAGGGCTGGTCCCTTTCACGCTCTGTGACACACCAGTGAGCTCCCCGAGCACCGGGCCAGTGCCACCTACAACCTGTGGCCATCAGTGGCCAGGGCAGGGTCCGGCAGGCGCAGGAGCTGTCAGAAGTCATGCCTTCGCTACAGGCCTCTCTGCCTGGCCCTGCCCGACCCCTCAGCTCCGCCAAGCAGGCCTGGGGCTGCTCCAAGAGGGCAGGCTGTC